GCCTAACCAAACACAACTTAACTTAACTGAATGTATGGTTCTTGAATCACAGCAGGTAATGGATATATTATAGATAATGTTTTTTGCAACCCCACTTTATTTTTGTATAGCAGTAAAATTATGTTTACAACCCGGATCGTCTTGTTTTGTTGCTGGGTAAGGAATAATACCTACATAAAAGGAACTTTGACATAATACCGTTAAAATTTAGTACCGCAATTTATTGGAGAGCAGGTCGATTTATTTTCATCCCTCTGTCTTTTATAAATCTTCCAAACTTAATAAACTTGATCGTTTGTTTAATTGTCCGATTAAGGAGTTTTAGGTAGGTACTTACGGAATTCTCGTATATTTCTTTTAAACGATTAAACCTTAAAAAGATCTTATTGATTTAAATTATTTACGTATTATTTCTGTTTCCTGTTTACTAATTGGATAGGGATTTATTTCGATCATTGTATAATATTGTTCTAATAATCGGAATTTTTAATTAAAAATTAGCAACTTTTGTGACGTGTTTAAATATATTCAGTCGTAGGGTCACCGATAGTGACGGCTGTGACATGAAAGAAGGTTATAGTTAAAATATAAATTAATAAATGTGGACTATAAACAATATTTAATTTAATTTAATTGGGTCTCATCAAATATACTAGAGATCATCCTCTAACGCTAACCGAAGAGGTAGTGTAGGTACTTATTGCAGCTATTGATGTCAATAATAAATATATTGAATAATAACGGGCCACAGTATGAGCCTTGAGGGACACCAGAGTGCACTTCAAAAACCCATAATTCTAACCATTTTCTTGCGATCACAAGATGTGAACAGAATTAGACCAACATAGGACCGTTCACACTAAATACTTGGTAACAAGTTCGTAACAATTAACTTATCCTTAATAAACTAATGCTTCGAAGTCTGAAGGCATTAATGGCACCCAATAGTTTTGGAATGTAACTAATTAGCGATATAGCACTTTTAGTATCGCCATTTTTATGAAACAGGGTGAAATTAGATAATTTCCCAGTGCTAAGGAAGATGCCTGTCTGAACTGAGAAATTAAATAGAATAGTTAAGGACTTAAGGGTGTTAAACACTTTAAATTTTTTAATGAAATTAAATAGATACACTAAAATACGCACCACTGACTTGGTTTATTTAAAGTTTTGTAACTAAACATTTTGTTTGTTGTTAATACGGAGTAACAAAAAGTTAACGTCTTATAAACACTCGATTATTTAAATCTATTTACAAGAATATGTATATTTTTCTTAAATTGAAGCGAGACCTAATGGAGATAGAAAATGCCTCCTTTTTAATGCCCTCTTTGCGCTTGAAATAATAGTCTAATTTTCCTCTCGAGTAAATCGTACACTGAAAGCTTTAAAGAACAAAGGGAAATATTTTAGCATTATCTAAGGGAAACCGAAAAGAAAAAGGGCGAGTAAGGAGAATTATTCAAATAGTGAATCCTTCCCATAACAATTTAAACCTTTTTTTATATTATCTAACATTTTACAACAGCACGTACTATGTTGCTCAAATTAACTAGTCTTCCTTGAAAACTTCAAGACAAGAAAAGATTGATAACATTTGTATATAAAACAAATACCTACCCAGGTAGATATAAATTTAGCAACATTGTACCAAAGGGATTTCGTTCCCTAACTTTTGAAATTCGTTTCTTTTAAATATAACGCCTTCCATATATGAAAGCTACAAATGTAGAAGTTTCTTTGGTAAATGAAAAACCGCCAGCTTTGAAAGCATTTTCATTTATACATTTCTATTGTTCCGTGCGTGTAACTTAAAGTGTAATTTTTTTCAAAAGAATAACAACTGTCAGTAGTAACTGTTAAAAACATAAAGAACACAAAGGTAAGATAAATTATTATAGCGTTTCGTTTGGAAATGTGCTTTATTTGAAACAACTCTTTTCAAAATACAAATACAAAATTCAAGATACCTATCTAAATTTTCTACTTTAAAAATACTAAATAATGCCAATTACAATGGGTTAGTGGTACATTTAAGATTAGTTTTTTCATCACAGTTTTATATAAACTAATGACAAAAAATCTTCACTGGCCAATATATAGAAACATAACAATTGTAACATATGAATTTTTTATGACAATCAACAACCCAGTTATTTTTATAATTTTTGCTTTTTACGGGGTACTTGAACTGCCGCAAGGCGTTTTGAATAATGTGGAACCTCAAATCAACAAAGGTGTGGCCCATCTTTAGCACACAAAAAGCTACATCCTATACACAGGGACGGATCTTGAATTTGTGGGGCCCTGGGCTAATACTGCTTAGGGGCTCTACCTTATTACCCAACCAATTGTCATTTTGTCAAAAAACAGTTTTCTGTAGTGATGTAGATATATATAATATACGTTAAGTACAGGAAGAAAATAGGACAACAAAATATTTTATTTATTACTTAAAACATTATTTATTGCAAAATAAATTGACAGGCTATAAATGGTCATGTTATATAAATTATAAAGTAACCTTTCCGCATTTTTGTGCTGCAAATTCCTTTATTTGGTCATCGCACTGTAAGTCCTTTGTTAAATCGCAATTTATGAAAAGAACTGTTAAATGATTTAGTCGATAGTTCAACATTGTTGTCCTGTATTTTTATTCTACATACGACATCCTGGAGAAAGACCGCGCCGCTACACAGCTAGTGATCGGCAACGTTAACAAAATCTTTAAGATGGTATAGAAGTTTGGGAAAACATCAACAAATTTCTTTTCATAAATTACCTAAAAAAATCCACTCTGTCTTAGACTGCAGTAAGTAAAATTTTAACTGAATTCACTCATTCACTAAATGTAACTAACAAAATTGCGTCGGGCGATAAGCGGAGGGAAGTCCCCAGTAATAGACAATACACGGAATACACCGACCGAAAACAAGCGACGGGGAATTCCCCGTTCCGTTTGATAGATGCGCACACGGGTTGATTGATCGCAGTGTTGTCAATCTTATGATCGGATTTTTTTTAATTCTAGATAATTTTTATTATTGACAATATCGTCTATTGTTTTCAGTTCAGGTTGGGGGCCCTCTGTATCCACGGGGCCCTGGGCTGCAGCCCAAAAAGCCTTTAAGTAGATCCGCCCCTGCCTATACAAGATGAATATTACAACCTATTTTGTTGATATGAGTAACAGTCTGTAACAACAATTTCAACAATACTATTTTGCATTTTTTATACATAAAATTTCCTTATTTACGAGTGTTTTCCTCCATACACGTCTTTTGGATCATCCACCTTCTCAGCGGTCCTGAGACCAACTACCCCACTTGGTCCAAACATAATCTACTGGGCCAGACCAAAAAGTTTTTTTTTTCTCATAAATTTGGTTCCTACACTTTTCTCATAACTCTTCTAATGGCACGTTATTTATAGTCTGAATATCATTAAACATGAATTGTTTTAAATTTTAACGAAAACAAACACAAGTTACGTTCTATTTATATATTATAGAAGATTTATTATTGTTCAAAAGTGGTGTTGGTTGACTGGCAATTTCGAAAATGAGGTTTAATAATCTGCAAACGGGGAAAATTAAACTAATTCAGTTTCTCTACAGTTCAGTGTTATCTGAAATTGAAATTACTAAACCGGTTAAATACCTACCCACTTCAAGCTAGGCATTCGGAACAGCCGTTTATTATACATAAAATACGTTCTCATTGCTTGTTTTCTGACAGAAAATTATCTAAGTGAAATATATAAGGGCAGGTTGAGCAGTTTGTTATCTCTCGAGTATCATATATAGATACGTACATTCAAACGCAAAAGGAATGGGAAGTCCTGTGAACAGGTATGGTATAAACGAGAAAACGGAATTTTCTTTCTCTAGCGTTTTTCACTAATAGCGATCGTTAATCTACGTCAGTTGTGTTTCGTATTTTTCAACTTTTTGTTTTCATTTTATACGGAAACAGCGACATAGGTATATGAGGCTAGAGTGCCCACGCGATCCTCTAATTTTGAGGAAAATCCTCCTTCAGTACAGTACTGATAAACATATACAAAAGTACTCTTATAGAAAGAACCATCTGCTATTTATTTTTAATTGTATTAATATCGGAACAAAACATTGAAATTGTGCCCTTTATTATATTAAATATAAATTTTCTAACAATATACAGCAAAGTAGAGGACCTAATCATGTTCCCTGAATACCCCAATACATACTTTCCAACTTCATTCCTAGGATGTACTTTTAAATAACATGTGTCCTCTTTCACATGAATTAATCACTTAATCTAGGTATATTTTTCTGTAGTGCATTAAGCTGATACACAACTGGATAGTTTTAATTTGTTGTGGTTGAAAAAACAAAGAAATTAATAAGTACATACCTACGCAGAAAGCCAATTATTCTGTACAATACAGTAGGTAATTTATAATCACTAAAAATTAACTATTACACTATGTTGCTGAGTCATATGTTGGAATTTAATTAAAAAAAATTGGAGACATGAAACATTTGATTGTAGAGAGTAGATAATAAGTAAATTGTCTACTTTTATAATTGAAGACTAAAGTAGTTCAAAAGAGAATTAACATAAAGCTGTAACATTAATGGATGATATTGTAGCTAACGCTAATTTCCCACTTCACTTAATTAAAATTAAAAATAAAATGAACTTTGAACTATAGTGTCTAATAACTAAAATGGATTATTTACTTTAAGGGGGCGAACTGATTACAAACAAAAATTTAGGTATATGAAGGTAGCAAAACCTTAAAAAAGTGAAAATAGTGTTATAAAATACATTTTTGTTTGAAATTGTTATTAATAAATTGTTTAAAATAGGTCAGTAATATAGGGAGAGTTAAATATGTAAAGTTTGTAAAGGTTTTAAATGGTAGAAAAGTATTTTTTCATTAATTGCTAATGAAATAATTTAGTTGCTGAAACCTCATGTTTATAGTCATTAATACTTATATATTTTCTTTTACAGATCATAGTGAAGAAATACTAGTCGAACCAAAAAGTATGGACATCCCCTTACATCTGGTAAGTCATGTGCTTTATTTATTTTAAATAAACCCAACACACAAAAAAGGATATTTTTACTTAATTATCCCGTGATCACGTAACAGTAATCGGATTTGAATTTAAAAATTAAATTTTTAACAGAAAAATGTGATTACTTAACAGTGTGTTTTCTGTCTTCTTTCTTTTTTTACACCCTCTTTTGACTTTTTGTAAAGCAGTATTTCTTATTCACTGGCACAGGATACTGTAAGGAATATTACTTTTTTTATACATTTGTATAGAGAATTATCTTAAGAAGAGCAAACTAAATGAAATACTATGGTTTCAGTGTATTTTCCTTTTTTTCTGTTAGTAAAAGTGAGGTTTTATCAGATTATATGTGGCTAAAAATAGACCGAGAATTTCTGCTACCTACTTGAGATACAGAACGGATTATGTAATCTGTTGTATCTTTTGTAAACAATTAAATTATTGAAAATCAAACTTAAAATATAATGAAACATTTAAAATGGATATTTCGTAGTACTGAATAATATATTACAGAAATAAAAAAACACTTGATAATACTTCACTCATTGTCAACATTTTATTCAAAAAATCTTATAGTATCATTTTCAAAGTGCGTTTCTTCTTTCTTCAGTATCATTTTATAAAAGAAACTATGTATATTTCTCTAGATTAATATTAGATTGAAAACAATGAGAAATATCTAAAGAAAACATTGTGGCAGTGTTCATATGATAACATTTCACTATTTTTTAATATTTTTTCAACTATATTTAAACATCACTTACCTTCTTTCAAGTCATTGGGTACATTAAATGGCAAAGGAATAAATAGAAGGAAACAAAATAAAATTAACTAAACATGTTGAATTTTTATTAATAAAATTACTCATTTACACAATTGGTAGATCGTTTTCATTCGATATTTTTATTATTATCATAATAATCATCATCATAATTATTTTAAAATTCTACTTGCGTATAAAAGATAAACAGAAAGAAAAAGAGCATGTGTAAGGAAGAGGAAGAGAACAGACAAACAGACGTATAATTATGTTACTATTGTACAAAATAAACTGACTATAATTACAATCAATCAATATATATTTTCTTTTGGTTTTTTGTGTGAAATAATTTAATCACTATAAAAGAACGAATATAGTAAAATATGTAAGTACTTAATATTTATTCTGAATGCATTACCATTATTTACTGAGTCTTAAACGACGTTAGTTTTTTATTTATGAATTTTTTGTGTGTTTGTTTTTTAATTTTAATTACTATTATCACCATTATCGTTACCGTAACTGTTGCCGTTCACTACGAACGATGTTCCCAAACCGTACAGGTGCCCTGAAAATTTTGAGTCGTCGATCGTGTCCTCAAAAAACATCTGCAATTTAAACAAGAACAGTATAAGTCTTTGTCGGTAATTTATCGAAACTAGCATCTTATTTGATCTCATCAGCGCGCTATTAGTACGCTTTCTAAAAAGCAAGACGAAAAGTATATCTACAAATATGGACGAAACGTCACATTACAATATGTACAATTGTTTTAGTGAGATGAATTAAGAAGTTTTGTGAGTGCAGTTACTAGATAATTTGACAAATGTCAATTGCAGTGACTACAACTACATTGAATTTCTTTTTAGTAGAAATAGTTCTTTTTTGGTGTTCTTAAAAATGATTGTGAAAGTTCAAATGGAAGATTTTCTGTGGGGTGCAATTTTATAAAATATTGTGAGTGTAAATAAAAGCATCCAAACAAAAGTTAAATTCAGTTCTGACTACATATTCGTGTTAAGTGTACCAATGAGTGCAAGTTACAAACACAGAAAAGCACATACCTCCTTCATTTTGAAGAAGGCCATGCCAGTGAGGAGGGAATCGGATCCAGCTTGGTGCTGGGGTCCGATCCGTTCAAGGTCGAGTTGTTCTGCTACCTCCTGGAGTCCGCCTTTCAGGTTCTTGCACGACTTCATCAAGTACTGCAATGAAAAGTAAACATACTAATAACAGCTATTTGTAACGCAAGTGCTTAATTTGACCCTGGGAGGCTTACTTTGACGTCGTAGATTGTCGGGAAGTAGAGTTTAAGTAATTCAAAGAACTCTCCCTCGTCCTGGGGCAGGTTGTTGTCAGTTAACAGTTTGATCAAATAGCCAAAATCGTAACCTGAATGGAATGACAGCCACTTGATGTTGTCCATCAGCACAATACCAGAGGTCATAAGAAGTTCTGCAAACTCTAATGGTTCTATGCCCTCTTCCTCGTGCTTTTTGAACTGAATTCCCGAATTTTGTAACAAATCGATACTATCCTGTGCATACATATCCTCCCTAAAATGAAAAAATTAAGAATAAATATTAAACAACATTGTGATAACGGTGATGATTATAAATCAAAAACTTAATTTGTAAACCAAAATTCATACCTCAAATAAGTTATTTAAAATTTTGTCAGAATCTAAACTCATTAAATCAAAATTTCAGATTTGTACCTATCAAATGTATTTCAATATTAATAAAATTTATTAATAAAAGGCACTTTTAACTACAAAAACATTATTTAAATAATGAACCTTTTTAAAAGTTGAAATTGAAATGAATCAATGTTGTCTAAAATAACGACACATGTCAGTATAATATACATTTTCAAATTAAGTTACTGAATTAAACAATAAATTCAAAAAGTAAATCAAAAAACTTAATATAGTTTAGTCTTAAATGATACATATCGAACACTTACGAAAGGTTGAATTTAAAATTAAACTGCCACGTTGTGTAAGAACCACCTGGCGTTTTTCCATTCTCATCCAAAAATGTTAATCCCAGCTGAATTATTCTTAACAAATCTACATTGCACCTTAGCATTTGGTATTGATAATCAGCTGAACTTCTAAATTCACCAATGGGCCTTGCAACTACACCTGGAAACTCTGTATCCATTGCCACATAATTGAATTTTTGTACAATCTGAAATTAACAAACAAATTCAACATTTAATAAAATCATCCCTTTCATAATATATAATAGGGCACATACTTGTCTTATAGTACGAAATTCTTCTTCGAGATTGTGTGCCCAGACATCTCGAATCCCACATTCCTCATTATTAGGATGTGGAGTGCTACTGATGGTAGCAGCTGGCATATCCGAGTCACTTTCCGTGTTTGTCAGTTGTGTGAGGGGGTTAGGTACCCAAAAGACATGCGTGTGGGAGTCTCCTCCGCCCTTGTCGACTTTGAATGTATATCCACCAGGTCTACTGATGCACTCTTCCTCTTTTGCTCTAAGACGCAACCCAACCTCGTCAAAACTCAGTAATCTCATTGATGTAATTTTAGTGCTGAAATGACAAAGCTTTACCTGAATATATCAATTTTAACAGATAACCTTCCTAATCCGGTAAAATGTCTTACAAACAAAAACTTTAACGTTGCATACACTTCGGATAATTTCAAAATCGTAGACGTAGTGAAATGGAATTACTAGATATTTTGATTTTAGAATTAAGAGATACATTCATTGACTTACATAATGAACTATTAGAAATCGTTAATAAGTAGAATTTAAACTAAAATCTTAAAAAACCAATTCTAGTCTACGAACGCTATGTTAATAGCAAGGTAACAAACGTAACCTCACAAAGAGTTATTGGTTCTTTGTATAGACAAAGTTGGCTGAAACAAATGAGGATGTTGCTTTTAAAAAATACATGCATTTAGCTGTACTCACACATTTTATATTTCAAAATATAGGACTTTTTTTATTTCATTTTTGAAGCACTTATTAAAACAGCAATTGGAAACCATTTGGACAAGCTTGAACATCGAAGCAAATTGCTCAAAATTTGACAAATCCCCACCATTCAGATTGAAGTCAATAGATAGACTTCACAATTACAAAATCAGTTGAAGATTAATTTAATAATTAATGAAAATTATGACGTTGACGTAAATTAGACATAAAAATTTACTCACCGTTTACCAAAATTTTTCCCTTCCAATCACTGAAGGTATAATTATTAAAATAACACCTATTTTAAATAAGTTTTTCAATACCATATTGCTGTTTTGAACGCACCTACCGTATAATTATTAAGTAGTTTTGTCTGTGGTTTTATTTAGATGCAACTTCAGTCCAAATGTCATTTGGTACTTTGATAGTTGACTAACCTCAAAGTATGAGATGTAGTTTGCCATTAATTTCGAAGATCTTGTCAAAAAATGTTAAAATTTAGTAAATTATTAAGATGCTACCATTATTATACACAAAATGTAAGGCATGTAAACTATGTTAAAAGTATTTCGTGCTATTGTCATCACCACAACTCGAATAATGCTATACAATGTATAAATCGACCCTATCAAGACAGAAAGAGTGATTCCAGATATAGAAAAATACCCATAAATTATACTTTTTGTTTTGCATACTTACCTTTTGCCATTGTGGCTTGTGATGCTGTGTTTTCCCATAATGATAGAAAGTTTTTTCGTGCCATTCAGTATGGATCTCCTGCAGAAGTCCAACGGTGAGAAAAACTCAAAAAGTCTATCATTTATTCCAATAGCTTTCAATTTTAGAATGATAGAAACGTACCAGCCAGATGTTAATAAACGCCATAAACTAGGTTGGACACCATTAATGTTGGCTGCTGTGAATGGAAAGCACAACACATGTAAAGTATTGCTTAAAGCAGGTGCAGATCCCAATTTGGGAGATGAATATGTAAATCCTAAAAGAATATCCAAAATCACTGGAATGCATTCTCTAGAAGGTACCAACATAGTTTTATGTCATTGTAATTAAAGCCTTAGATGTTAAAGATTATTTTTCTTTACAGTCATGCTAATAAGGGAGGAGGAGTTCTCAAGTCTCTTAAACAATAATGCAACGTTTTATGGCTTTACTGCTCTACATTATGCAGTTCTTTCAGATAGTCTGGAAACAGTTAGAATTCTTTTGGAGGCCGGTGCAGATCCCCTTTTAGAAAATGATGCCGGTCATAAACCAATACAGTATGCAAAGGAAGAACCCATCAAGAAGCTTCTTGAGAAACAGATGGAAAAAGTAAATATGTTATTTATGAATGGTTGTTTTTACCTGTTCTTATTATTTTTAGGCTGAAGTAGTGAAGAAAGAAAAAGAATTAGAAGAAAGGAGACGATTTCCATTAGAAGAAAGACTCAAGGAGCATATTGTTGGTCAACAAGGGGCAATTACAACTGTTGCAGCAAGTAAGTTTTGCATATATACATATGTATCACTTTGTCTTGCTCTAATGTATTACTCATAGGTGTTAACTGTTATACCTTTACTTTAATTTTACTTTCATTTCATAAACAGGCAATGCTCCTTACAGATTTTTTTACAATATTGATGCTTAAGGTATATAATTATAATATTATACTATTTTATTGTAGCAATAAGAAGAAAGGAAAATGGCTGGGTGGATGATGAACATCCTTTGGTCTTCTTGTTTTTAGGATCATCTGGTATTGGAAAAACTGAACTTGCCAAACAGTTGGCTTCTTATATTCATAAGGACAAAGCATCTGGATTTATTAGATTGGATATGTCAGAGTATCAAGAAAAACATGAAGTAAGAAAAACTTTTTTTATCTTCTCTCATTACATCCTATGTTTTAGAATTTTAGAAAGTTTTTACTTCTCTTCGAATTCTCTCTTTGTTGATTTATTTGTTTTGTGTTATAAAAAATATTCCTATTCAAATTAGATAATTGACTCAAATTTGTTCTCTTATGTGTTACAACAATTAATAACAATTTAACAGATTTCATCATTGGATTAATCTGCAGTTCTTCAATATGCTACTCTCCATTTGCTCATTTGAACTTTCATTGTTAAATTGTTTAAGGTTGCTAAACTTATAGGAGCCCCTCCAGGTTACGTGGGTCACGATGACGGCGGTCAATTGACGAAAAAACTGAAAAAGTGTCCAAATGCTGTTGTCCTTTTCGATGAGGTGGATAAGGCTCACGCGGATGTTCTTACTGTCCTTTTGCAACTCTTTGACGAAGGACGACTAACAGACGGTAGGGGAAAAACTATCGAGTGTAAGGATGCAATTTTTATAATGACCTCGAACTTGGCTAGTGAAGAAATTGCACAGCATGCACTTGACCTGAGACAAGAAGTTGAAAACCTGAGACAGAAAAGGCTGGCAAACAGCAAGAAAGCAGGTAAAATTTTTATTACTTTTTAAGTCTTATATTAAAAGAAAGTACTCAAAATCGACTCACGAATGCGTTCTTTATTAGGTTTCAACCTCAGGTCAAATTTTGATATAAACGCAGGTATAACGTATTAAGTGTATGCCCTTGAATGTCATATTAACCTTTTTATTTTGGTTTTTTATTATGTATTTTTTTTTTCATTGTAATGTCTTTAACCGTAATTTGCTAATAATAAATTAACGCTTTGTTACGACTTTTTAAAACAGTAAATTTAACAAATGATTCAGTTCATCTTAAATTTAAATGTATCATAAGTAGGCAGGTTTTTTATGAATAGATTATTACACTAATTTATGTGTTTTAGATGGTAACGAGCCTTCAGATGACATTCAGATTTCTCGAAAATTTAAAGACCACGTAGTGAAACCAATCTTGAAAAGACACTTTAAAAGGGACGAATTTTTGGGGCGTATTAACGAAATTGTCTATTTTTTACCATTTTCAAGGGTAGAACTTCTGCAGTTGGTAGGAAGAGAACTGGATACTTGGGCTAAAAGGGTATATAAAATTAAATTAGTGAAAGTCTCTTTTTTATAATGTATTTCTCCTTTAAAAACTGGGATAATATGAGGACAATTCATTTATTCACAATAATTTTTAGTAGTACAAATTTTGGAGGGGTTATTGCGAATTACTTCTTATGATAGAATGAAAAATCGGAAATATTTTCTTTGAATTGATTATTTTAGGCAAATGAAAAACACAAAATAGAATTAAAATGGGATAGGAGTGTCGAATCTGCTTTAGCTGATGGCTATGATGTAAATTATGGTGCAAGATCCATCAAATATGAAGTGGAGAGACGTATAGTAAATCAGCTTGCTGCAGCTCATGAAAAGGGAGTTATAAATGCTGGTAGTACAGTAGTTATATCAGCTTTGTGGCCTGAAAATGCAGAATCAGCACAAATTCGGTTACAAGTCAAAAAGAAAGGCGTTAAAGACTTCGTCGAAATCGATCATTTTCAGTCTCCTTTTAAAAATATAAATTTTTAACATTGTTTAAGTTTTCTTTCTTTTTTTTGAGTTTGTACAGTAACTCATTAATTATACACCTCTGAAATTGTGATAATTAAACACTGGATAA